ATTGCAGCTTTCCTAGTAAGAATTTTCGTAAAAGAGCCAAGGCTATTAACTTGCCAATATAGCTAAATTTTTTAGCAAGAATTCTCTATAAAACGTGCTAAATGTCACTGTAAATAAGCCATAAAATGATTTAAAATCGACCTTGGACTTTACTTAAGGCTATTTTTGCTGTTAAATTGCAATTCTTACTAAGAATTATGGTTAAAAAGCAAGGCTTTAATTGGCTTGCCGAAAATAGCTAAATTTTTTGCAAGAGATGTTTTTCTATCAAAAATCCTGCCTAAATGTTACCGTAAAGTAAGCCATAAAATGATTTAAATCGACCTTTGACTTTACTTAAGGCTATTTTTTGCTGTAAAATTGCATATTACTTGGACTAAATTTGTTAAAAAAGCAAGGCTATTGTCTTGCCGAAATAGCTAAATTTTTTAGCAAGATATTTCTATCAAAATACCGCCTAAATGTACCGTAAATAAGCCATAAAATGTTTAAATCGACTTTGACTTACTTAAGGCTATTCTTTGCTCGTAAAATTGCAGCTTTTCTTGGTAGAATTTCCTTAAAAAGGCAAGGCTATAACTTGCCAAAATAGCTAAATTTTTTAGCAAGAGATTTTCTATTAAAAACCTGCTAAATGTACTGTAATAACCATAAAATGATTTAAATCGACTTTGGACTTTACTTAAGGCTATTTTTGCTGTAAAAATTGCATATTACTTGACTAAGATTATTTGTTAAAAAGCAAGGTATTCTTGCCAAATAGCTAAAATTTTTAGCAAGGATTTTCTATCAAAATCCTGCCTAAATGTACCGTAAATTAAGCCCCATAAATATCTTAAATGACTTTTGACATTTACTTAAGGCTATTCTGCTCTACAAAATTGCAGCTTTTCTTGAGTAAAATTTTCGCAAAATCAAGGCATTAACTTCCAAATAGCTAATTTTTAGCAAGATTCTTCTATTAATAAAAACCTGCGTAAATGTACTGAAAATAAGCCATTAAAATGATTTAAATCGCCTTTGGACTTTACTTAAGGCTATTTTTGCTGCTAAAAATTGACATATACTTTCGTAAGGATTATCGGTTAAAAAAAGCAAGGCTATTGGCTTGCCAAAATACGCTAATTTTTTAGCAAGGATTTTCTCTATCAAAATCCTGCCTAAATGTACCGTAAATAAGCCATAAAGATTTAAATACTTTGACTTACTTTAAGGCTATTTTTTGCTGTAAAATGTGCAGTATTTACTTGACTTTAAGAATTTGGTGTAAAAAGGCAAGGGCTATTACTTGAATAATAGCTAAATTTTTTAGGCAAGATTTTCTCTATCTAAAATACCTGCTAAATTACGTAAATAAGCCATAAAATATCTCTCCCTCCTAAGCTGCAATTTTAGAGCAAAAAATAGCCTTAAGTAAAGGCAAAAGTCAATTTAGATGTTTTATGGCTTATTTACAGTACATTTAGGCAGGTTTTTAATAGAGAAATCCTTGCTAAAAAATTTAGCTATTTCGGCAAGCCAATAGCCTTGCTTTTTTAACCATAATTCTTAGTCAAGTAATATGCAATTTTAGAGTAAAGAATAGCCTTAAGTAAAGTCAAAAGTCGATTTAAATCATTTTATGGCTTATCTACAGTACATTTAGGCAGGGTTTTGATAGAAAAATCCTTGCTAAAAAATTTAGCTATTTTGGCAAGTTAATAGCCTTGCCTTTTTGCGAAAATTCTTACTCAAGAAAGCTGCAATTTTGGAGCAAAGAATAGCCTTAAGTAAAGTCAAATGTGTATTTAAATCATTTTATGGCTTATTTACGGTACATTTAGGCAGGATTTTGATAGAAAATCCTTGCTAAAAAATTTAGCTATTTCGGCAAGCCAATAGCCTTGCTTTTTTAACAATATTTCTTAGTCAAGTAATATGCAATTTTACAGCAAAAAATAGCCTTAAGTAAAGTCCAAAGTCGATTTAAATCATTTTATGGCTTATTTACGGTACATTTAGGCAGGATTTTGATAGAAAAATCCTTGCTAAAAAATTTAGCTATTTCGGCAAGCCAATAGCCTTGCTTTTTTAACCATGAAATCAAGAAATATGCAATTTTACAGCAAAAAATAGCCTTAAGTAAAGTCCAAGTCGATTTAAATCATTTTATGGCTTATTTACAGTACATTTACGCAGGTTTTTAATAGAGAAATTCTTGCTAAAAAATTTAGCTATTTTGGCAAGTTAATAGCCTTGCCTTTTTACGAAAATTCTTACTCAAGAAAGCTGCAATTTTAGAGCAAAAAATAGCCTTAAGTAAAGTCAAAGGTCTATTTAAATCATTTTATGGCTTATTTACGGTACATTTGGGCAGGTTTTTGATAGAAAAATTCTTCTTAAAAAATTTAGCTATTTTGGCAAGTTAATAGCCTTGCCATTTTGCGAAAATTTTTACTCAAGAAAGCTGCAATTTTAGAGCAAAGAATAGCCTTAAGTAAAGTCAAAGGTCTATTTAAATCATTTTATGGCTTCTTTACAGTACATTTAGGCAGGTCTTTGATAGAGGAATCCTTGCTAAAAAATTTAGCTATTTTGGCAATTTAATAGCCTTGCCTTTTTACGAAAATTCTTACTCAAGAAAGCTGCAATTTTAGAGCAAAAAAAAGCCTTAAGTACAGTAAAAAGTCGATTTAAACAATTGTACGGCTTATTTTCAGTATATTTAACGAGGGTTTTGATAAAAAACTCTTGCTTAAAAATTTGGCTTTCTTTGTAGGCCTATGGTTTTGTTTTTTTTACGAAAATTCCTACCCAAGAATACTGCAATTTTTAAAAGCAGAAATAACGTCTAAAAGAGTCGAAAGCCGAATTACTCCATTTTATGGCTTATTCAGCTTTACTTGCTGCTGAAATTTTTCAGGGCTAAAATTCGTTACTACATCAAGAAAAATAATATTTTTCTTCAAGATATATCGCTGTAAAAATTGATAATTTTTTTCAGCCTATAGCCTTACTTTTTGATTGAATTTTTAATGACTAGTCTTTATGATGTTTTCTTGAATAATCAGAATATTATTGTTATTAAGGCTATCTAGGTGAGTTAATTCGTTACAACATCAAGAAAAATGATATATTATTTAAAAAAAGTTGACTCTAAGATTTGATAACTTTCTTGAAGCTATAGCCTTACTTTTTGAGAAAATTTTACAGGTCTAAAATTATCGACGTGTTCTTTAAACAATCAGATAATTTTTGCTGTTAAAGCCAGATAATTTGTTATTACATCAAGAAAAATATGGTATTATTTCCTAAAATTTGGCCTTTAGAACTGGTAGTTTTATTAATCCTATAGCCCTACTTTTTGATTAAATTTTTCAGAAGAATAACAATTGACGCTACATTATCATCAGATTATCATTTCTCTAGGAGCTTGGTACCACATTGAACCCATGCATTATACAGGGAACGGCTTTGCCTGCGAGCAGACCACTTCTAAGGCTACTTATGACTGTCATCTTGTCAGCCTGTCTAAAATCCTTTCAAACAAGAAGAAAACCACCAAAGTTTTTCACGTACCAATACAATTTATTCACTATGAAATTTCCATTTATTTATCTTTAATCATCAATCGAAAACACCAGTTACAAAAAAGCATCAAATAAGGTTAAACTACCAAAAGGATTAACTACAACGAGTAATGAAAATGCAAACAGCAAATTCACATTGCTCCAATATTAGCCCTTAACAGTATCAGAATTCCTAAATATACTATTTTTCTGTCGGAAACATCACTTTTCCCTCACCTGATCAAGTCCCTTTTTTGGCCACAATCCAAGAAAAAAATTGTGACAATCAAACGCAAAGTGCGTATATGAATTAAGTCTACTGCGTATAGCTATTTGTTTACGACTAGGCCCCAGAATTAACAAATGTTTTATGATGCGGAAGGGAATATTTTCAGCAGAGGAAAGTACTTAATTTAAAGCATCTTGAGATGGGCCTAAATTTCAGGGACATGTCGGGCTCCTTCACAGATGTCTGGGTCGGTTCTTCAATCACAGATTATATGTCAATTCCAAAGTTTTATTCTTAATAGTCTGGGTCTAAGACCAGTATTAAGTAAGCATCATGCTGTTTTCTTTCAATTCCGTTAACAAATTCTTAACTAATTTTCTTATCAAAACTAATTTCAAACCATGAACAATACCATAAAGTTTAAATAAAGATTCTGACAAATATTCTGTCCAGCAGACATGGATCTATGCAACACTTGTGCATCTAGACTACAAGAATTGTTTATCTCTACTTTCAGCGTAATTGGTATTGGAATGGGCTCTATCTCAGAATGAGGTAAAAATGACGTTATAGGGCGTAGCTAGAGTATGTCATTCAATGATCAATGAATCTGCAACGAAATGAAAGAGCTCGTTTGTAAGTGCAAGTTTACAAACTTTATCTATACAAGTGCTAATAAATATCTCATATAACTAAACTATGTATAATTATTCTTAATCAATTCACATCTAATTTCAAATCAAAGATAACTGAATAACCACGACGAATACACCTTCTTTGAACTGCAATTCTTGCAGGGAGTCTTACGTCTCATAAAAGTGTCTGAGAAGATTTTTGCTACCGTATTTACTCGTTTATAAGCCGCTCTTGATTATAAGCCAAAAAATAGTTTTCAGCCGCGGCTTATATTCGAATAAATGCGGTGAATGAAATACATTGGATAATGGAACATATGATGTACAAGATAAATAAACGTCGGTCAAATAGCTTGACTCCACAGCAGTTTCAAAAAAGGTCCCAAAACACAGAGTACAATCTATACACGATATTAGATACACAAAATACGCCAAATTACGAAAAAGATCTGTTCTTTAAAGGTGCACAAGAAAATAGCAGGTAGTTTTCCATACACAGAATTTCCAAATCAGTCCTTTGGAAAATCTTAACTAACTAGATGCAATTTTTAAAAGAAAGAATTTTCATACATTAGACCTTCAAGGCAGCATGTCACTGTGAAAGGTGGATGCCTAATGTCATTGTCATAATCGGATAAACGATGCATGATCGCCTATAAGTTTATCAAACGCTTCCCATTTGTCACAAGCAGAATGAGCTCAGCCAAACTCCAAGCTGACTCAAGAATTTACGGGGTTTGGTGAATACAAAATGTTTGATATATTAGTATTTCTCTACTTGTCAGTTCTGCTCAATCAGCAGTATGTTATGGCCTAAAACGGCCAGGTTGTCATTTTTCAGAATGTTGTAAGATCTCAATCGAAGAAAGAGCAACCTCAGGACCATGACAAATGTTCCCTTCTAGTCTGTGCGCAATAAAATAGTCGAAAAAGACTTTACCCTAGTAAGGTGAATCAAATATGAAAATATTTTCTTTTAAGATTAAACTACTGATATTTATTAGTGCACGTTGACGCTATCAAAGGTTCTTCAATCTCCATAGCTACCGTTAATAGCTCCCTTCGCACGCAATCCGATGTTGTTGAAACCATCTAAATCTTTGGAAGAGTTTGTGTCGTATCTATCCAAAATAAGACGCAAATAATTAAACAAAGTTATGATACCAGTACAAGCCTACTTAACATAAAATGTTGATCGAGTCGATATATTTGCCAGGAAGCCCGTTGCACTTATATGTAAATAGCCATTCTTGGTGACAGGTCAGCAACCCTTTAATAGACACAACATTGTAGGGGTACCTTCGTAAGCTGCAAATAAACCTCTGGTTTTAAAAAGAAAGGGAGGAATTATACCCCCTGTGCCTATGTCTATGCTTAAACTGTTCCATTTACGCTAGCGTTGGTAGCATTAGAGGACTATGTCTGAACAAAAGAGCTGATCTTATAGAGAGCCTGAAGATTTTAAGAACTCAGTTAAAATCTACCCATTGCAAACAAGCCTAATTTAGGGGTTGAACTGAACTTTAAATCTCTACATGTCTAAATCATGAAATTTCAATCTACCCCAATCCACAGTCAACCATGTGCATAGATATGAGAGTACGTGTATTCCATGCAGAAATAAGCTAGATGATTTTCAAGTGTAGCAAACAACGAATAGTGACACCGGGCCTAAAAAGTCATATCTTTTTGGCAGATACATGCTCCCTGTTCAAGAAAAGCTACTTGAAAATCATGGCGAGAAGAATTTCTCTTCTGTTTGTATTGTTAAAAGATTTTATATCATATGTCAATATGATAACAATGTTATTTGCTTACCCTTTAGCCTTTTTGCAGGAAATGATAAGAGCAATGCATATGACGAGTAACAGAAAACCAGTTGCACCACCAAATGCGTAAACCAGTGGTTTGAACACTGCCAAAGATTATAATTTCAATCAATATCGCTGTTCACACAATGACGTAATGTGAAATTAATCAAAAATATGTTTAGGGTATCTCATATTACAACTGCCCAGTATTTAAAGCAATTTAAGTTGAAGACATTTTTATATCTAATGTTAAAGTGTAACTACAATTTCAAAGCAGGGAAACCATTTTGAAAATGAAGACCAAATAAACAAACTCACAGGGATTGGCCTCTTTTTCGCATTTGCTGCCATAATAGTCACCAGTACATCTAAAGTTAAAAAATTGCTTTATTGGTTAAACAGTCACATCTTCTGACGGGCACAATTATACAACAAGCACAGTTTTAATCATGATAGGAAATAATTGAATTCCCATTTCAAGGAGAAGCATGATTTATCGATAACATTATCAGTAGTGTCATCGAAAAATACATTAATTTTGACCTGGCTTTAAATAACTCATACTTTGAAGTTACGGACCAGCTGCATAAGCAAATTCAATTGGAAGCATCATTTGAAACAAGGAATATGACATGACATTGTAATGTCAACTGTAGTGTCTCTTTTCAGAATTCAAATGCAACTAGAAAAACTCATTTTTCAGTGATGTTGCTATGAAAGTGTTTTCATACATTACCAACTAAAGCCAAAAGCAAGTGTTATCATATTTAAACACAAAAGAGATAAAAATACAAAAGAAAAGAAAACACAGCATGGCTTCATCTTTGAAATTATATCTGTTCTGAGCTCATATTTAGCAAGGAAGTCACTGCAATAGCTCCCTCGTTGCCCTGAAAAGCCTTTACAGTTGCTTTGAGCAAGTCTCCAGAACATTTTATCCTCTAAAGTTTGTAATAGTGGAGACTTATTGCCAAAAAGCAGTTTCTCTAAGACACGAAGTCTGGAGCAAAATACAATCTTTTTGGCTTATTGCTATTCTGACTTTTTTGCACTCTACATTGGATTTTGAAGCAATTTCGAGGGTAGTATTTCTTCTGTGGTCAAGTCTTGGCATTCTGCCCAGTCTTGAGGCAAAGAAACAGGATCTAAAGTCCCATGTAGACCTCTTGCGAGGGTCTTGCCTCACTCTTATCGTGAACATAATATCACAGAGAAACAATAGTAAAAAAATCACTTTTACAACTGCAAATATTTAACAAAGTAGTGGGGGATTAACATGCCTTTAAAGAGAATTCATCAGTTTTTTATATTAAAAAATTTCCTTGTTCAGAATTTCCAATCTCTATCGTTATTGCATTGTTTTGATAGCTTTTAAACTTCTACAAAATAGCTTTCATCGAAGCTTCTGCAAACAGCTTTGATTAAAGTGCTAGTTATGTCATATAGATCATACTTGGGCAACACTCTCTTAAAGTTTTGTACTGTTTAAAGAATAAGACTTCATCGGTCATAGTTTACCAATTAAAAAGTTATCACTGTTCCTCAGTGCTCTAGTGCTATCAAAATAACAAGGGGGCTCTTGCACAAATGTTACGTGAAACAATAGCAAAAGTAGAAATTTGAGCCCCCTTGAGCCCCTTAGCTCTACACCCATGCTGTTCCTTTCCTCAAATACGTTTTTATAGATCAAAGACTTACACGCATAACATCGAGTTGTCAGTTCCAATGTAACATTTACCATCATTCTTGCAAGAGTTCTGATTTGCACCGCATCCTTTGAAGGTAGCTAAACAGAGAGAAATATAGTTTGGCTGCATTCATTGACCTCGAGGTATTAAGGTCCTGTTATATATTGAGATTGTTATATAATGATGTTATATATATTTTCATCAGATATTCACCAAGCATTTAAGTTGTTGAATATTCTTTTGTCGAGGATTATCTATTTCATATTTCCAGGCACAGGCTGCAACAAATCCGCAGAAATTTTTATCCTCCTTTTGATAATATCTAATGAATACCTTATAAAAAAAATTGATCGTGTAACATGGCCCTTGGCTAGGTTTTAGGATTATGAAGGAAAAATGACAGAGGGAACCAAAAGACTACAAAAAGGAAATATATATTCTGTTATTTTTGCTATTTCACATAGTTACGCAATAGATTTCTAGTCAGTTCCTTGGTCTAGCCCTAGATAAATGTAAGAAATTTTTAGCAGATCTCAAATCAAAATATGGAATCAGAACCTAAAAGCATCTATGATCTTGCCTCTTATTGACAAGAATCTTCATGTGACCAAATGCTTGCAGGGGGTTTTTGTTATCAAAATAAGAAACTTGATGGTGTTGCATAGATAATTACTTCAAAAGAAGAAACCTTGGTCAAAATTTTACACAGGGGCATGAAGGCAGGTAGGTATGGCACCCCTTCCCCCGATTTTTCAGGAGTTTGTCGGTAAATCTTCAGTTGGTCTGATTATTATGCAAACTAATCAGCATAAATTAAGAAACGTTAATCATTACTGTTATCAATGGGATATTAAAGAAAAAGCAAGCTCATCCTGATTATTGCTAAAAATGTTCATAGCTGCATATATTTATTGCATAAAAGTTCAACAGCAAACTAGCCACTTACCACCAGTATTTGGTGAGACGCTTGTGGACGGCTGTGCGGTTTTAGACGTTTGTGATTGAGATGGAGTTGGGGTTGATGCTACAGGCGTGGATAGGCCTGTCGTTGCTTCCAGACTTGAAGGTGAAGAAGTCGGTGTAGACGTTGCAGCTGCAGGAATTGAGTTAGCAGGCAAAGAAGTAGTCGGTGTTCCAAGCATGACTGAAAATGCATTCAAATTGTCAAGATCCCAAATTTGTAAATAAATCTTAAAAAGATAGCACTACAAAAAATAGAGGCACAAAATGTTTGCTGTCATTAACGTTCTTACTGGAGTATAAAGGTTGATATTAACGAGCAAACTAGACTGATGTGTTAATTAAATGATTAAAATTGCTCTCATTCCAGTGCCAAAACGTTATTGCAACAAACAAGCCTACGTAAAGAAAGCTAAAGTCCAGTTCTAAAAGAAATAATGAATAGATTAAGTTATATTGATAATTTTAATGCAAGGACGTTATCCATAAAATCAGAATTCCGAGAAGTTTTTAGCCGTTATCTTTATAAATTTATATTGACATACCTATTAATTTTTTAAGCTTTAGGCCTGTTAAGAATAGGTTTATGGGGCATTACTTACCCGTTGAATTAGTTGATTCATTTGAAGTAACACTGCTGGTTGTATTGCTTTCACCAACAGCTATGAGATGAAAGCTCAAGATAACGAACTATATAGACACCCCCATAGAAAAAATACTTTTGCTGGCATTCGCATGACAGAAAACCATTTTTGTAATGTTCGTTATGAGTTGCATTATTTAGGCCTGGTTCAAACGTCGCACTTCTCATGTGCCGAACCTTACTCTGTTTGGAGTGACACTTGAGCATGTTTAGCGCGACTCCCGTTTCAAACGTCGAACATAATTATGTCGCGCCAAATGGGTTTTAGGATTGTTACATGAAGTATCTTGGTTAAGGCGCGCAATCTCAAATATTTGTTTGAAACGCATGCGCCCTCCAAGAAAGAAATGAGTTCTGGGAAGGAAAATAAATTAAATATAATCATGCATTGAGTTCGGTACATGACAAGTTCGACGCTTGAAACCGTGCCGTGCTGGAGTCGTGAGCTCTGCAAGCTCTGCCGATCCAAACTAGTCTGCCGCTCCTAACTCAATCTGCCGTACCAAATTGATTCAAACGTCGCGCCCCTCATGTACTTAATTCTCGAGTTAGGTTCGGCACATGACGAACGCGACGTTTGAACCAGGCCTTACTCTTTCTAGGTATGCCAAAGAACGTTAACATTTGGAGGGAAAGCCACGATCTTGACAAGAAATTTATTTATTTTCTTTAATACTGAGTTTTAATAAATTCTTTATTCTGTCGTTCCCTGCTCAGGTGACCATTCACAACGTTGAAGCTTAAACACTTTTAAATCAAGTTTAGAAGAATATCATCTTTTTCAATAATTTTAAAAGATCTGCGGAAATTATTTTAATCTCTAGCAATGTCTTAAACCTCTATCAAACTAACAAAAGAATTAAAAAAAGCATGCGAAACATTAAGTTGTTGAGAAGTTTAAATTATTTGTTTACATTTACGACCAAATGTTTAGAATACGTTACCGGTAGAAGTAGACGAAACAGTGGAAGAGAAACCGCTGTTTATAGCGCTGGTGTTGAGATCTGCAAGTAAAAGGGTGAGAAAAGTAAATGTTATAGACATCTCATCACGGAAAATTTATAAATTACAGCTAGAGCAAGATGCTGATATTGTGTAGAGTTATTAGGTGTGGGGTCGCAAAAGAATTTTCTTAGAATAACTGTTTTTGGCCAAACAGACTAAAAGAACGCCATTGAATACTTAAGAATATGTAAAACCAGTTAAATATCATAAACATTTGATATGGCCAAAGAAAATTTGGAAGAATGCCCTCGGATTACTGTTACTTTGGCTTGGTTCACAAAGTTAAAAACAAAGACATAATTACAGTAACTCAACAGGTCACATGGAGTCTGTGCTTATGTGCTCATATCCCAGCTAATTTGGAAAACATTTTATAAATTTTGACATATTTCATGATGCTCCTCCAGGTCACTCTTTTGTGACTTCAGCACGAACTCTATTTGAATACCAACGTTGATCTTAAGTTTATGATTTATGTATTAAGCTTGAATAAGGCTTAAATACAATCTTTACTCATATATACAAGGAGGTTTGCATCAATTTTCTATATTATATCCTTAACAAGCTAATGGCAAGCTAGCTTCAACTTAGATTTAGCGTTATCAATACGAATTGACATTCCATTCAAAACCACACGTATTGACATCAGTACAACAAAAAGTAGAAATATATTGCATATAAAGAACGAAAGACGCAGAAAATGAAGCAACTTACGAGATAAAGATGAGGATGTGAAAACTGATGTATATGATTGTCCAAGTTCGATTATGGAAGTGGCGACAGCTGAATCTAGAAAAAAGAAAAGACGTCTAATCTTGTATAAAATTCTAGAATGCTACAGAGAATAGAATGGAACGAATTTCCAATGTCTAAATTTATTGCCAGAAATCTTTCTTGAAGTCTAATTACTGGCTTTAACAATCTTTAACTAGATGCTGGTATAAAAAAAACATTGAACCTATTTTCAAAATACTACATCAACCCGGGTGAAAACAAAACCCTGAGGGACACCATGTACAGGCCCAGCGACCTACTACATCTACTTATAGGAGCAATTTCCATTTATTTGCGTGAGCTTACCATAAAGAAAGCGAAAAGGGGTTGCAGTTTTAATTCATCAACAGTAAGGGAGTTGTAATTGTCTTAGGAACACACCATTTCTAATCATAAAGCCAATGCACTCCTTTTTTCTTATTAAAACTAGATAACTTTTATCGAGGCTTGATCTTCTTATTTTTAGGGTAATTTGGAGCTTTGAGTTTTCCTAATGCTATTTTTATTTCAACATTTAATTTTCTTTAACAATATACTATAAAGTCCACTAAATAACATTTCTCCTTTGCATTTTCAGTAGCATGGTGGATTTGTTGGTAAAATCGGCTTTTTACTGTTAGAAAGTTGCTGTAGCACTTTTGCTAAAGTACGTATGATATTAAGGTTGTGACATCAATGAGCCGATTCACCCCCCCCTCTCCCCTCACTCCGGCGTCCCTTCCTTACATGTGCACCGGCGTCTCTGCCATAATTGGATCTTCTACATTTGCTTATGATTTTAAGTACACAGAAAATGATTCTTACTGGAAGGCATCATTGTTGAAGACAGCAGATCTGTTGTAATTCCAATGCTTGTTACATTTGCAGCTTGACAGCTACCAAGAATGGCTATGGTTATAACCGTAAAGGTATTTTCCAGGAATCTGAAACAGAGGAAATAACAAGCTTCAACTTTAAAGGTTTCTTTTATCAACATACGCAACGTAGATGAAATTTCAAGATTTTGCATACATAAACACGAAAAAGGGTGATTTTCACAACACTGGAGTTTCTGATACAAAGATAGGTTTTATCTTGAAGAAAGTAATCAGATGCAGGTGTGTCTTAGTAATAAGAACGATATTTTGTTCAATATAAATATCTTGTAGATGGATAATTTGTAATAAGATATCTTGTTATAAAGGCCTGAAAGTCACAAGATACCGTGAGCTTGCTTTTAACAATGGAAGGGGAAGCCAGGTTAACACATGTCGCTTTATAGGATGACAACCGATGTAATTTCAAAAATGACATGGCCAGGCTGTCATTTTTCTCCTCCTCCCTAGCTTGCTTGCCAGGCTTAGTCAAAGTCGTGGCTATACATGTCAAAAGTGGATAAATAAGACGTATGACTTTATAAAGTACTATCCTACTTTACAAATACCTCCTTGCTCTAAAGACAGGTTGTACTGGGAAGCAACCTCTTTCATGGGGTCTAAAAACGCAACTGTTGGCCCTCGTATAGGATCACCATAGGATGACAACACCAACTTCTTGCCTTGTCAGAGCGCTTTCAGTGATTAAATTTCCAGGAAGTAATTATAGCTAGTATCTTAAAAAGTTTTCTTGGATGCTGTCATAAGATTGTCCTGTATCATATAATAAGAAACTTATTTTATCAGTAGAAGCATCTCGTAATAAGATACACAATTTTGCCAACTAGGTACTTTTCTTGAGTGAGTTGTCCATCTCTTGTTTTATTTTAGAAATGACAATAGAAAGCTTGAATCGCATCATGCTTTGATCTGTTATATGTTTTGCTTATGAATAGGACGATATTCATTATAATTCCGTAACATGAAGTTACTCGAATATATCCCCAAGACAAGAAAATGTATCATTTTTAAATAAGGGATCCTTTAGTTCTTTGGAAGTTTTATTATGACCCTGAGTTTAACCGGAAACTTAGTTTCTGGGTGCTAAAGTCTAAGGGTTTAAGTGTGCTATAATGCCAAAGATTCTAACTCAATTGCTCTCATAACAAGGGGACCTGTTATTGACTTTTGTGATTAAAAAATCTAAACTAAATAAGAACTTTATACCTGACACTCTAAGATAGGATCAAAAGTTTAAAGTGCTAACACAACGGTGTGATCTTTGCGCTCTGGTATTCTTCGTACATAGATGTAGGTCCATCTAACCTTAATTTGTCAGAAATAAAACGGCCATCGGATTATTATCATCAAAAAAATGGATGATGAGAGCTTTGATCGGTCTCCGCCATGAGCAAAGGACCATCAAACGTTTACCGGTATAGGAGTCACAAACAGGGTGTTGATGTTGTTTGAAGGGACTTGCAGACCTGCAACCAAAGCTACTGCTGCAACAACAACGCTATTTAAGGACTCTATCATCTACTGATGTTGAAAATTCCAATAAGCATCTGCCTTGAAAGGCATTCTAGCCAAAATGATAACGGTAGATTTGGAGCTAAGAGAAAAGTAAATTTAGCTTGAATCTAGCAAGAAGTCTTCCTCTACTCGCATTTCAGACAAGGGTTAACCAAATACTTGAAAGAACTTTAAACCTAGATTCTGTTATTGCATTACCAAAGTAAATCTAGTGGATTTTATCCACGAAAACTTTAACTGCTTTGATTTTGGTTAGTTTCGACGTTTTTAAGGGTTGATTTGATCACCTTTGTTTCAGTTTTTGGTTTATTAGTTTTAAAAGAAAAAAAACAATCAACCACGTTTAAAAGAGTGCCCCCGGGTTTCACCATAATCCAACAAACAGTAAAGCTATAGCTACATAAAGTAATCTTAGTGACAAATTCATTCACTTTACCATTTAAAAGGCATCGAAAGATCAGTGTGTCCAAGCATTACATAAACCAATAACGCAAATATACTTTAACAATTGCAAAGAGCAGTAAAAAAAGGCATTTGGATACGCACTTCTGGGTGTCTCTTAAGCCCCTTTTACACTGCTACGAATCATCTTTTGATACGTATCACAAGTGATACGGTTAACCCCCCGTTTACACCACTCCTAGCTATCCGTAGCACAACTGATACCGTTAACAGTATCACTTTTGATCTTTTTAGCAAAAGGATCGCAAGTGATCCGGATTCGTGAAAACCCTGTGTAAACTGGACGATCCCTTTCACATACAGTGATATAGAAGCGCTTCTATATCATTGATCACGTACAATACGGATAAACAACGAGGCCTTTAATATTAGCACACGAGCGAGGCCATTTGGCACCAACAGGCCCGACTGGACTCGATTTTGGGAATGCCTGGTAGGTTGGAACTTAGTAAAACGCAGCCTACTAGTAAAACGGCGTATTACCGTCACCATAGGGCTGAGAGGGCTGCAGTCCCCGAAATCAGACAGTATTCACCCCATTTTAGGCTCAACTCGGGCAATTCTATCTCATTGAAGCAATAATATTGGGCAATGGCCTTTAAACTCAATGAAAAATGAAATGTTAACACTATGGCATTTGGTCGAATGTAAAACGCAAAAGCTTGAAAACAGATAAAGCGAGAAATTCTAATAAAAATCCTGCAGATACCTTGAAAATGTAAGTAGATATATGAACGAGTAAAGCCAGATACGGGACTTAACTTTCCAGGGAAACTCTATAGCTGTGTCCAGAACTAACACATAAGTAAAGAAAACTTATTTTACACGTGCACCCCTTTAACCTTCTTCTCCTAGGATGGATTAAAAGCTTCCTTCGTTTGGTGATACATAAAAAAAAGGTTTTTCTTAAATCACTGAGGTAAACTGCTGGAAGAAAGATTTTGGTAAATTTTTATCTCGTCTCCTTACCAAACTTCAATATTCATAACCATACCATTCAAGTAGATTTGTTCCTACTTTAAATTTGGAGTTGGGGGGAGTTGATGCGAGGCTGTAAGATGTATTCTTTATCTATGCGCGTGCTTTTCAGCAAGCATACCTTTAGGCGCTGGCTTTCATAGCTCTGTAATTGGATATGGTTATAGGATTGGAATCTGAAAAGACTTTTCTATACGAAATCAATATGAATAATGTTGATAAGAGTAGCAAGGCTTGATCTAATCTTTAACAGGGAGGTTTTGGGGGAGGGGGTAATCAAGCTATAAGTCAACATCATTAGTGAGGTCTTGGAGCGTTCAATTCAAGGTCAAAATGGTAGAAAAGCGAATTTTCCACCATCCAGTGCAGAATTTTTTCCTTTATAACATACTCAAAATCGCCCAAAATCGGCTGTGGGGAAAAGTTTTATTGAGGTTTATATGATATACGAGGCCACATTCGATAATCAAATACTTGTAGCACAACTGAGGGCATCTGTACAAAAAAGCAAGAAATCTGTTTTTCTTTAAAAATTTTAGATTTACGTAAGGGAAAATTCTCCTATTTTAGGCCTGAAAAATAAATATAAGGGCTAATAAAGGAAGAAGTCAGTTTTTCCCTAAAGTCTCCGATTTCCCTAAAAACATGGAGGGGGAGGTTTACAACCGACAGGCATTTTTTGAATGCCAAAATACAAAATTCGTTAACGCACCATAAGCGAGGGACATTTGTCAATATTTTAGGGTATATAAAGTTACTCAATGCCTTGGCAATTTACTCGGGGGAGGGGCTATTTTGGGTATTGGGGACATGCCAGCCAAAGATGTAATGTCCTTTTGTGATTTCGATATCAACACAGGTCATTATTTCTTAATAATTGGTATAAATGAACGGCTCACTTTCTGGAAACTCTCTGGATAAAATATGACAGAATCGCTAAGCAATTTGGTGGACTAAAACTTTGTGATATGGAAGCTAGTTTTTTTAAAAATGGAAAGGCAGTACACGTTATGAAAAATGTGCCTCAAACATCAAAAATCACAGTGACAGACACGCAAGATTTGATTAAAACAATTACTAAACAGAGAGAGTTAAAAAAAACTCCAACTGGTAACGTTTTAGTTCATCAAAACTTTCGTCGAGACTTTCTTAACTTAAGAAAGGTAACTAGAAAAATTTAGGATGTTATTGCAACACCTTGTTCTAAAAGACTGCAATCAAGTTTTACTGAGCTCAGGTGGAAAAAATATTGCTTTCTTTGTCGTAATGCTGCTACAAATGCCTATATAACAATGATGCATCATTCAAGATAGGGCTTTCTCCCCTATAGGCCCCAAAAGGCCTGGAATTAGGTATTAAAGTATTTGAAATTATTTCTGCTTTTTTTATGTTTAAAGCGTCTTTTTGACGGTCTTGAACGCAGGCTAGCAAAGTGGGTCCGTCAAAATGACAAGAAATTATGGCTAGCTAAATAACTTGCCTTTGAGTATCGAATGTGATTGACTCACTTTTATTTGCCGCGTAACACTGCATTCATACCTTTTTTGTATAAACAGAATCCTAGGCCGAAGATTCGCAAAAATGTGTTAGAAAAGATGAACATTTTAACCACGCTACAAAGCAGTATCTTGATAAAGCCCATTTTAGCCTTCAATTTCAGAGCAAGGGCGTTGGGCCTTCGCTGCAAATCGGGGAGTCGTGATGACTTAGCTCCAGGGCCCGTACCCCCTAGCAGTGGCGCTAGAAAATTGCATTCGTGGCATTGCATTTTGTGGACTGCAAATGTAGAACCTAACCTTCACGGCAGCATTGATCTTGTAGCAGCAGATGCAATATATAATCATACATCATGACAACTGCTTTTCACGTTTTTAAAAGCTCATGTTTTTAAAAGTTCTAGAAAAAATTTTCCCCAAGTTGGATTTTAAGCGATTTTGGATATGTTATAGAGGAAATAATTCTACGTAAAATCATGTACGTTTTGCTTTTCTACCAATATGTTCGTGGTTCATCACTTCAACGATTGCACTACATTATTGGAAATAAAGTCGAAGGTCCTAAATAGAAACAGAGATGGCGTCTTTTGACATGCATGACAACGATAACTAGTCAGATTTAAATTTGATTCAAAATATGTGTACAAGCAATCATGGATTTACATTATACCAGCAATCATGTGAATACTTAATAGAAGCAGTCAGTGCTTTACAGGTGCTGAATGCTCAATCAACAAGATCCCCATCCAAAAGGACGGGTAACGGCTGATAATCGTGTATAGGATTTTGGCCATTGAGTGGTTCGTTTGAGAGAGAGTCACGTTATTAATGCAGCTCAAAGCAAAGCGATTACTCGTTGTTTATGTAAAAGCCTAGCTCTTTCCATGCTAATGGCTTTTAATCTCAGAATGTCTTTTATAATGGCTGGTGGCTTTGGAAGGGACATGAATTTAATTAAACCGTTTAATATCTAGAAGAAAATTTTTGTCTTGTTAAAAACGTTTATCAGCCACAACTATCTTGTAACTTTGATTGACAGGAGAAATGCAACACAATAGACGAGAGAACGACAAGATGAAAAGGGGGAAATGGGTAGTGGGGGAAATGGGCAGTGGGGGAAACTGAGATAGGCCATTGAAAAGTCACTAGGACTTTCTACACCAGCTCTGCACGAGTAAAATTTGCCTATTTGAAGCAAAGCCGAAAATCCTTTTTTTACTAGTATTTTAGGTTGTATCTTATTTCAGGGCTCAGATCAAGTGGTCACCTCACCACATGTGACGTAATGCAGTTTAGAGTCCACCGACGGCTATTTCTTAAATTGAAAGTTATGCTTGTTGAAAACTGGTTAAAAAATCTGATGGCATCATTTGTGCTATAAATCATCATTAACACATTTCATTGCTTGTATGATTGTCATTCTTAATTATCATTTCATCATGTACACTGCACCACTTGTCACGAAACACGAAATAGTGTGATTTTATCAGTCGGTCCCCTCCTTAAAAAGTCGAATATTCTATGCCAAATATTGGTGTGCTTCCCAATTTATCCGTGCCCAATCTGATGACACATATGAGTCAGCAGTTACCCCGTCCGACTTTGGTTTGACTCATCTACAACTCGTGTTTGTCAGCAAAATAAGCACGCGATACCGGTTTTACACATCCCACCTGGACAACTTTGTTTATGCAACACGTCATACTCCAACTTCGTCATATAATAAAACGATCATGCCTATATTGCCGCCAGTTAGTAGCCCATTATCGCCATTAACATACTTCAGCCGCCATTTTTCGGGAGGGCAAGTCCTTGGTATGTGATCGGTGAATATTATATTACTTACTCACCACTGAACTATGTATCTATGGTGGGAAAAATGGGTTTGTATTTGCTTTTGTTAAATAAGAAGGGACTGGCCTAGCCAACATCTTACTTGATCAGAAGTTAGCAGTATTTTTCTCGGAAGAGATTTTGCTTGATCATAAACTATTAAACGAAAAATGACAACTGCAAGTTCATAAATATCTCTATTTGCAATAAATTACAGGCCTTGTGACAATTTGCATCACGTTGTAGGAAATTTGGCTCAGTAACAAGTAAACAGAATATTTCAAAACACAATCCTCACTTGCTAAAAATCAATAAAGCAATGTGTTTGTGTTTACCAAACTAATCTACACAGCCAAAAGCTGAATCCGTTTTCAAACGATTACCCCCTGGAAACATTTCCCGATTCAAGATTTGTTTGGTCATTTGTAGCAAACATGAACGCGATAAATCTTTTTCATAAAGCAATCTTTGCATCATCTTTAAATTTTATGTTTGATGGGTTACACGTTGATAGGCCTTGAGGCAGGTTGAAAATGAACGATCCCCAGAAGTACCTGCTTTCATTTGCGCATTTATTGTTGAATTTGCACAATAAAATGCTGATTTGACTACAAATTTGAAATTTTTCGCCTTGAAAAGTTAAGATTGATATGTAAGAGGCAAATGCCACAGCACTCAAAGAAACATTTTCAAAAAAGGAAGATCTTTCTTCACTTCTGGCAGAATATGCTGTCAGCACAATCTTTAACAAATTAATAAATCGCCGACGGGAAGCTTAGAAAAGCTACTACTTTGACAGGCATTCAACTTTCGCAAAAACAATTCTTTTCTTTCAGTGAATTCACCAATGTAGGTAGTCGGTTAATTGCCTTACATAGAAGGCGAAACTCGCACGTAACGGTCGATAAGGGCAGAAAGCAAATAATTTTTACAATGAACGGCGACTTTAACACATCCCAGGGAAGGTAAACCAACAAATCGTTGAATAAAAAAGTTTTTAACGGATTAAGGACATAGGAAGTTATTTTCACTGACTGACTGAGTCAAAATTTGTTCTCAAGGAGGTTTACTTACTTGTAATTCATTGCTCTTCTTGAATAATTTCTTAAACAACTTGCTAATTGCCCAGAGTAAAACAGTCGCCTTGAATCTGATGATTGCAGATGTTACTTTATCAAGATTCTTGAATCTGCACTGAAAATCGCAGATATATTGAAAGCAGGTATCAACCACAGACCGCAGCAATCTTCGACAGTCGGTTTCCCAACCGAACTCCACTTCCGCGCTCTTCACAGCTTAAACAATAGTGACTGTCAAGTTGCGTCATCAATAAGGCTTCGCGGAACCGGCAGTTAGGTTCCAGGCCACCGGGAAATCTTCAAATGGCAGGTCCCAGCTTTGACTTCGACCTGCCGGGTAAAAACTGTATAGATGCACGACTGTTCAACTACTTTAATATTACAGCAGAAATAACAGGGGCGTAGGGGTGATAGTGGTGGTGTAGAAATAAAATGGAAGAGTTTCCCTTATACACTCCGTACGTAGGTAGGAATTGCCTTAAAGTAGAGAAGGCAGTTCTCTTGGGCAAATCATGATTGTTGGGTAGGCCATTTTTTTCATTTAAATGACACCTTTATTCAATAGCAATACCGGGAATGACTTGTGGAGGAGCATTTCACTGATAAAATTTATCATCAGGGACGTCGGAAGGAATTAGAAGTTGGAGGATCACAAGTTGGAGGGGGCACTGAAATTCAGAAAAAGTGACGACTTTATCAAGTTCTCAAAGTGACCTTCCTGTTTCAAAAAGCATTTTTTAGAAAAGAGGCACATTTTCCTATAGTTTGGGCCCACTTGACCCTTGTGGTCCCCTGGTTCCAACGTCCCTGATTTGGAAAAGACTGACTACACTGAGATGCTTAATTCAAATGTTAAATAGATTATATGTGTACCTAGTTCTGCATCGATTATATTCTGGATGCCAGTGTCACCTGTAACTTTTTCTAAAATGTTTGCGGATAAAAATAAGCTTCAACGAAAAAACTCTGAAAATAGAAGTGAGCTATTTGGTATTTGGTCTTTATACATTTCAACGGCAGTATTAGAAATGAAGTATGAACGGTGTTCACAGGGGTGTCGTCCTAAAAAGTTAGGCGGGGGCAGCGCCGTAGGCACTGTCTAAAAGCTTCACTTGACACCACGCCCGTGAACACACCTAATATACCTTCAACGTTTGTGTGGAAGATTATCTGTTGTGTACAAAAAAATTCACAGACTAATAAAATTGCTCATTCGTGTGAAAACTATAGCATATAAAATGGTAGCCAACACAGAATTCGTCCAACCTAATGTGTTTGCTTGTTGAATGGTGACTGAGCCCCCCCCCCCAAAAAAAATCTCTCTGAATTTTAACAAGGGAGCTGAGCTCTCTAACGTCACTTAGAGTGATGATTGATGTGTAACACATTTATGTTCTCTTAAAAACAAAAGTACTGATATGCTTAATTTAGATTACAAATATATTTTCTGTATTGGCATGACTCACATCTTTTTTATTTAAAACATTTTAAAATGAAATATTTTTGAGGATAATTAGCTATAAGAACATATCAAAACCCACCTTTAATGGCGGGATAGTACCATAGGGAGGATATAATTATTTGCGGGGCAGCATCTTTTGAAAGAAATAAGAACCATTTCAATTAGATTAGAAAAATAATGAATTTTCTTATTTCTGTTGGGCTAATGTTATCTGCAATAATACCTGCATTAGTCACAACCAACATTGTTCTGCAGTGATGTATTGTCGAGTGGAAAATTTATTTCGTTTAAAACCTGATTATTGAAGAAAAAATTTCAAATAAGCCTGCCTAAATGTTTGGAAATATATAAGAACAGCGGGCCTAAAACTAAATTTTCTGGCTCTTACGAAATTTAAGCGTCACTGTATTTCTTAATTTGGTTTTTAACTATTCTCTGTATATATACATTAGGCCTTTTGTATCTTGCATGGTGCGAGAGGGGATCTATTGTACTATACAGCGGGCCTCTTACAAAACATTAAAGATTCAATGCATAGCTATTTTATGACAGTATTGCAGTAAAAAGTGATTGTTAGCAGAAGCGCCTTTCTATTCATTACAAAAGAGCATGCGATGATAAAAAATTTGTTACCCAATAGACACTTCCTAATGACCAATCGATATGAAAGGTAGCAGTAAAGCCTTGGCAAATTTCTAAAGAGTTTATGTATCACAGCCTTAGAAACAAATGTAAATTAATGTACGCCTTTAAAGAAGCGCATATTAATTACACCCTAGAACGACCCAAAAAACTAATTCTCGAGGACATCAAATTACATGCACGATAAACAATTATTTTATGATTTTATCTTTTGTTTAAAACCAAATAAAACTCCATCAATAACTGTGCTGGAGTGAATCATTTTTAACAAAAATTGCAGGTAGGCATTAAGTAGAAATTTTCAATATTTTAAAATGTTTTAATCAATTAATCAATTAGATATTTAATTAATCATTTTTTACTTAAAGCTGGCAGAAACAATAGCGTTAAGCTAATTGAGGCCATAATGTATTCAAAATGCATTCAAAAGTCGAATTGCAAAAAGGCCTAAACTTGAAATAAAAATTTTACACAATTTACAGCTTATGTTTAGGTGGCGTATCAAAAAATGGGGAAAAGAGCATCCCGCCTCATTTGAAATTAGACCAATAAAACAATTTTTCTAACAGATCCTAGCTTGATGGTGTGAATATTTTTGGAAAATTAGAACGGTCAAATAAAGAATATAAAAAACGTACGGGTGTAAGAAGAAAAAAGTAGGCAAAATAAAAACACCAAGGCGTCGTAATTTTAAAACTTTTGAAACTGCTTTCTTTGGCCTAACTGACAAATCAATGTTAATGAACTATTCCGATCTCGTTTTCCACGCTCTTTTTCGTGTTCAAAAGGTTTTTGGCAAATTAACTTCACATAGCCTAAGGAAAAGTCCTCTTTTCTTTTTCCCGTTTTCCTCATTATTCACAGTGTAAGACCATCAGCTTTGACTAGTTGGCTATTGTCTGTTTGGATGTTGACTGGCTGAAATTTTCAATGATACAAGATGAACACATTCTAAAATAATTCTGTAGTATGAAACATTTTGTGAATCCAAATAGAAATAGGCACCAATTAAGCCGCTTTAACTTTTATCTAAAAACTGAATGGTATTGCTGTAGCGAAGATAGAAAGTTACATGGCATGATGCCACAAGAGGCCAAAAAATATATTATCAATTCTTTGAAAATTTTTCCACCAGTATGCCTTCTTTCATATGCTCATTTGGAAACCAGAGCATAAGGGCGTACACAGAAAATATTTGGGACAAACGCATGATAAAATGTCTACCTGAGGGCGGCAAATTTTTAAATTTAATCCATTCACGCTAGAAAATGCAATCTTTGATGTTATCTTTACTAATACAGCCGATTGTTGATGTCGTTGTCATATGTTTTAGCTTATAAAATCACGCTGGATAACTGGGTGAATCCTCTTCGGACCCGCTCTCAAAACTCTGATGGTCAGGAAGTCCTGGTTCCGGGACTGTGCTCATGAATTCGGAGAGTAAAGAAGATAACTACCTAAAAATATATACTTTAAGTTTTTCCCTGTTGAGATTGTGGAATGCCGCAGTATTAGGAAAGGGGTATCGCGAGTCTTGTTGCAGCCAGGTTGTTGCAGAACAGATTGGTAATAGTTTAACTTCTTTAAGCCTGATACACGGTCTCTACTTAGGCTACTGCTTACATGCAGGTTACAAAACAGAATGAAAACACTAGCCTTCAAAATTTCTGAAAGAAGGGAACAACTGCCCCTGCCAATAAGCTGACCAATCATACGTCTAAGATCTTATCAATAAAGCAAAATAAGAGAAAATACCCCCGTTCTATGTGTACACTATTCCGCCCTTCGCACCAACCACTTTTTACTCTCAGGGGCAGCTGATAACACCTTCGTGACAATTTGCATTGTTGAAAATACACTGCATAACTGGGTAGATTTGATATTATTACGTATCCACTAATTTCCTTTTGCAACTGAAAAAGGCTTACAAGGTTTAAGGTAGATTCTCAAGTGCGATATCGAACATGTTGGCTTTTTAGGCGGAATGACACCTGTCCGATGTGTGTCCAGAGCCTAAGCAGGTCAAATTGCTTGCAGATGCTCGTCCAACACCTATTGTTGCATGAACAAAAGTCTGTTTAAAAACAATTCTTTTGTACCCAGCTGCAACCATTGTACATAAGCATTGATGTTTACCTTCACTTTGTTTTTATATCACTAATCCATGCACTTTTTGGTGATATACCAGATTGCATTTATTAAAGATTTGATTTCCAAATTAGCTGCAAAAGAACGTCGCATCGATCGTTTGCAATACGCCTCCGAGAACCTGTTGGGAGATAAATGACAGCATTGCAACTTCAGTTTGTCAATCAAAAGGTGCAAGACACGTACATAGCTTGCAACATAACTCGTGCATCAAAAAGAAGTGGTAAAATCACTATGTAACTAGTCTGCTCCGAAACAAGAAAGATTTGCCTCCATAAACACACTGCACTGATTTGAAGAAAACGGTATGTAATAAACACTTAAGTCTATTCTTTATTAATTCTGTGATTTGCTGAAAATAAAAGGCGCAACCAGATTCTGGGGATTGCTTCAACGTGTTAAAATGATACTTAGCTTTAGTCAATTAAGTCCTCTTCATATTAGTTTTATCATTTCATGGAAAGAGTTACTAAATTGTTTCCGATTTCCATTCCTATAACAGAGACTAACTTGAATTACAAATAGATATAAGTAAACTGTTTAATCAAATAATTTTATGTAAATCACTGCAAATATATCAGATGTCTGGCTACAAAACAATCACGCATCAATTAAAGGAATGATTTTGAGTAAAGAATTTGTTTTCGTCATTAAATTCTATATTTTTGTACCATGTTTTTCAAACATTCGTACGCATTTCTGCTGATGAAAGCAAAAACTTGTTAAACATATTCCGTGTTTTTTAAATATTTGTGGTGACAAAAAACAACACAACAAGCATAAAAAAGTATGAAAGAAGGACGCCATCTGTCGCGAGAATTGCATATGGTAAAAGATACACTTTTCCGTGAAATGCAGGAAAGTTCTAAGTTGCTACTAAGCGTTGCACGGTAATTGCAATCACTAGACTTAGTTGCATGCCTAGCACTGGCTTTTTGACATCGAGAAGTTTGCATTTAACATAGTATATTGATCAGTTTTCAATTCGTACTACCAAACAACGGAGGATCTCTTCAATCGTAGAAGATAGCTTATACTGGGTAATTTCATCTTCACACAAAGCCTATTCTGCATTTAACAATTAATTCCATAGCTTTCCCGAATTATAGTCTTGAACAACTTGAATATTCCGCATGAAAGATGAATATTCAATAACGATTTTTTAACAAATATGCTTTGAATGTAGCAGCTGCTAAACAGCCAGTTGAGTGCCTTCTTTTCACATAATGCCCATAACAAGAAGCTTTATGAATTACAGGCAAAACTCTTCAACTTAAGGCAATATTTCATAGATGTCCAAATAGGAGACCAGGCACAGAGACCAGATTCATTAATCATTAACATCACCAGATAGGCTTACATATTCACCGCATTACTTCCTTGTTTCTGTACAAATTTATAAAAGATTGCTCTGTTGTGGGTCTTTTTCAATTTACTTGTTCACTAAAACCGATGAAAAGTTGTAAGGGTCTGTCTGTTAATGTTTTGCAACAAAGAATAATTTGTGTTGCTATAACAATCCACAAGAAACTTTAGGTGTTCAAGAATTTACCTGAGTTAGCAATGCGCCATGCAGTGTAGCAAATATGAGCTTTTGGCGAGACGTTGAATTCTAACAACACGTTTCTGCCAAGTCTAGCAACGACCAAGGAGTAATCTACTATCTTATGTATGCGTGATATTCCCACGGCCTTGATCAGCTTTTCTAGAGACAGGCAGGAAAACAACATGTTTTTTAGAATTCATATGATTCAGGCACGTGTCAGGTGAATAATACAAAGTATTATGACAATGATTAAAGAATATTAACGGGTAAAAATTTAACTAGCTTCACATCTTTAAATTGGCGACCAATCCTAACGAGAACTTTGTTACCGGGAAATATATACAATCAGATCCTTGGGTACAACACAGTTTCTAACCGAATTGAATATGAATTATAATCCATTAAGAAAGGTCTCAAGTACCGCCAATTTGAAGATAGAACGAAACGGCGAAAGCATGGCAAACTAAATTTCCGCTTGTCCATGCAATCTTCGGACATGTGTATCTGGTTGACCGTATTTCTTTGATTGACCGGATGCACAGCAATGTCATGTTTCTAGTAAGGCTACAAAAGATTAACACAAAAATGAAAAAGCCTTTGTGAAAACTGATCTTGTTGGGCGAATAGGCTTTTTATAAAAGTAAATGTATTGAAATGACAGAGAATAGATCTATGAAGGACAATGAGCAGAAACAAAAAACGTATTTGTAGGTGCAAAGATCTAACTTCAATTTACATTTCTTTTGATATTGTTTAACCTCTTTTTGCACTGCAAGAACACATACACTGACCAGCTGTGGTGCTACAAAGTTGCGACCTTGCCTCCCTTTCTTTGACAGCTTGCTGTTTGTACTCGACAAGAAGAGCAAATTGCTTTATTGCTCAGGTGTTTATTTTTAAAATTCTGCTTCACTCCATCCTTAGCAATGTAGTTTTGAAAGGTCAATAACGACATATAAAGCTGAATAAAAAAACAAAATAAATGTTCATAGCAGTTACACTGTATATCGTTACATGGGCTTGCGTTAACATACCAAAGTTGATAAAGTTCAAAATTTTGATGACTCATTTCCGTCCTATATGCTATAAATGTTTTTCTTAGTTTTCTTGGAACGTCTGCATTCTGCATGTAAAGCCTCCGATATCTATTTTTATAATGAAGGTGCATACATTTGTCAAGGGTATACATCCTCAATGCTTCAATGGGTCAGCTTTTGCTAGTCAATAGAATTTCCTTTGGAATATTGCTCAAATATCTAGCCATGCTTGCTGAAGAATCTTAAGGTTTCAAAATCAAACCTCAAGAAGGAATAAGATTTCGTCTACCAGTGCTAGCCCTGGAAACCAGGTACTCACAATTGTGACCTAGAGACTTTTCAAAACGACTAATCTTTAACAGAAACTGTAGGTCAATTGTTCTTAGAAATCGACTGTTCTATTGCAATGTACGCAAGATGACTTTAAAGATTTTAATATTGTTACAAAACGAAGCTTATCGACCACTGTTCTCCGATAAGTGTTTTTGTAATATCCTTTATGATCATATGGTGGGCTATATTTACAAAAAGTTATAAAAGGTACTGACATTGCCCCCTTCATTTATATAGCAACAAAAAGACAGCAAGTTTTTATGCCGTAATGCACTGGAAGTTTTCCTGCAGAGATTTTTGAATGAGGTTCTCTAAGGCCTTGTCAAACTTATACCTGTACACCTACCCCTTAAAGAGGACAAAACGATCTTCATTTCTACAAAAAAACTGCTTTCCGTTCTCAAATGCTATTTTCCCCTATTATCTGCATCCTCATTTCTCCTTCTGCTTTTGCGTAGATTTCCTTTTCTTCTCATTTCCTGTTCCTTTCTACCAACTGCAAATTAACCCTCTTCTTCTTATTGATCAACTTTTGCTTCTTCCCCGTCACTTCATAAAATTTTTTCGATTTTTCCACTCTTTCTTAGTATCGCCCTTCTTTATCTTCCTTTCTTAATCCTATGCAGCGGATTTCCTCTTCTTCTTCTCCTTTTTTTCTTTTTCTTTCTGATCCACTTCTTCGCGGTCTTCTTCATCTTCTGACATAACCCTTTCTACCAAAAGCAATGAAAAAAACTTGCAGATCGAATCCTGTTCAATTTGTCACAAAGCCTAAAGCAGCTTGTCTATTACTGATGATATGCACCTGTCTCAATCTTCATTCCTGAATTTTTTCACGACAATCGTGGTTTCAATGTATGTGAATCTCGCCTCATTCTACTGCTTATAAATTTCACGAAATTACACAGCGAAACCTTCAACCATCTCTGGAATCAATCTACCATGTTATACCTTTACAAGACTACTTAACGATTGTTCAAAGCGAATTAACGTATTAAGATTCAAGCATGCAAATCGTACTATTTGGCAACTAAAAGCAGTGTTTTAGCAGTGATTAACTCTGATTATTTGATGACATCCTTTACTGACGAAAATATGCCCTTGTCGCTTGAGCCACCCCGTCTAATGTTCATAGCAAAACAATGTTCTACTTTGCATAAGTATTCTCTTATTTTATAAACATCTTAAAATTCCAATAGCAAAATTAATTGTCATTTCCCAATAACTTACTATGGTTGCCTTAATTGCAAAAAAATCTAGCCTAAAGCAAAATTTCGAATCCCCGTACCAAGCAACAAAATGTTTCAATCACCACGAATAGCAGAGGCTGACCAATTTTATATAAACATTTCAAACCAAAATTAAGACATTTTCAAGCAGCCTCTAACCCGATTAATATCGGCTGGAGTTTCTTCGCGTGTTACACACTGACTTTAATACATTCTAATTAAGTTTGGTAATGCAATTTATCGGTTACCAGCGACGAACCTTTTGTTGTCAAGACTTTCTCTTTTATTCCATTCAACGTCGCCAGTAACAGTGACAGTTATTCGAAAGGTATGGCTTCAACTTTTGCATGTTGGCCAAAAGATTTGCAATATTTAGAAAATTACGAGTAGGCGGAAGTACACCCATAAAAGTGAAAACGAGGCGCGATCATAATGGCAAATGAAACGGCACTCTTTTTTTCTTATCGTTATCCTTAAGTCAACATGCATTTAGGTTGTTAACAGAGGTTCATTCTGGGTTATGCTGTGTGTTTTTTTTTCGCTATACAGTCAATTTTAGAGTTTAATCTACATTAAATGTGAGATTTTTGTGCTCCACCTGCTCACGTTAGTTTATTTTCCCTTGATACTCAAGTTCGCCGTTTATTGCTTAATCTCAATCTGACTCTTATTGCCTACATTTAAACTTTTAAGAATTTGAAATCGTATTATTCTGCCTCTCAGCTCCATTCGGAAATAACAATAAATGCAGATAATAATAGTCTTTTGTAAACATGTTACCCTAGTATCGTTTTGAAATGCAATGTCCAAGACCATGTACATAAAATATACAAAAAGAAGAGGCACAAGATACGATCCTTGAAGGAGCGAGGCTAGATTATTTTTGGCTAGAATTGTAGCACCGGCTATTTTAATTTGAACTAAACCAGTGATGAAAAGGTACTCCATGAATCTCGAAAGTATAGAGCTTTGCTGGAATTATTTCACGATCAATTGCGCCACACGCTTTTCTGTAAAAAGAAATACATTGACATGAACTTCGTGTCCATCATATGAGATATTGAGAAGCAAGGTTATTGCGCTTTGCAGGTCACTGCTTGCGTTTGAGAAAATGTCATCCCTTTTTTGAAATTCACAACTTGGCCATATGCAGTCCTCAC